CTGCTGGAATAACTGGATATCACTATGTCAAAAAAAAAAAAAAAGATATCCATACACAAAATTTGACATGTATAAAAGACTTAAATATAAATCTAACACTGTAAAACTCCTAGAGGAGAAAATCTTTGCAACCTTGGGGTAAAGGAAGATTTCTTACACTACAGAAAACATGAACATAAAACAAAAAATTGATAAATTTGATTTCATAAAAAGTAAAAACTTTTGCTCTTTGAAAAAGACATCATTAAAAAATGAAAAGGCTGGTAGAAAATATTGTATGACAAAAGACGTGTTCAGAATATATAAAAAATGTTTATAACGCAGTAATAAAACAATTTAATTTTTTTAAATGGGCAAATGATTTGAGCAAACTCACAAAAGAATATATACAAATGGGCTATAAGCCTATAAAAAGATGCTCAACATTATTACTTATCAGGGAAATGATAATTAATACTGGAAACAGATACCACTATATACCCATTTTAAATCTGCTTTAAAAAAAAAAGATAAAAATAAAACTTAATTCCAAATGTTGGCAAGGATGAAGAACTGTAACTTTCATAAGTTGCTGCTGGAAATGTAAAAAGGTATAAAAACTTTGGCAGAGTTTGATAGTTTCTTATAAAGTCAAATATATACTTACCATATAACCCAGCAATTGCACTCTTAGGTATTTACCCAAAAGAAATGAAAATATATGCCCATACAAAGACTTGTACACAAATGTTCATACCAGCTTTATTTATAATAGCCAAAAATTAGAACGTCCATCAACCCAAATATCCATCAACAGGTGAATACATAAATAAATTATGGTCTATCCCTACAATAAAATACTACTGAGCAATAAAAAAAGAACATTTGATAAGAGCATGAATTCTCAGCTCACAATGATATACCACTGCACAAACCAACTAGAATGACTTAAATGAAAAAGACTGACAACACTAAAATTGTTACTTGAACTCTCACATATTGATGATGAAAGTACAAAATAGTACAATCATCTTAGAAAAAGGTCTGGAAGTTCCATACAAAACTAACTATACTTCTCCAAGAGACAGAAAGGGCCACACAGACCAGGGACTTCATCAGCCTGAGATCAGAAGAACTGGATGGTTCCCAGTTACCACCAATGACCGCCCTGACAGGGAACACAACAGAGTCCCTGATGGAGCAGGAGAAGGGTGGGATGCAGAACTCAAATTCTAGTAAAAAGACCAGACTTAATGGTCTGAGACTGGAGGAACCCCAGAAAGCACGACCCCCAGACTCTCGTCAACCCAGAACTAAAACAATTCCCAAGGCCAACTCTTCAGACAAAGATTGCACTGGACTGTGGGACATAAAATGATACTTGTGAAGAGTGTGCTTCTTAGCTCAAGTAGATACATGAGACTAAATGGGCAGCTTCTGTCCAGAGATGAGATGAGAAGGCAGAGAGGGTCAGGAGCTGGTTGAATGGACACAGGAAATCAGGGGTGGAAAGGAGGAGTATGCTGTCACAGTATAGGGACAGCAATTAGTGTCACATAACAATCTATGTGTAAATTTTTGTGTGAGAGACTAACTTGCGTTGTAAACTTTCACTTAAACTACAATCAAAAAATATTAAAAAGAAAACTAAATATACTTTTACTTCATTACCTAGAAAAATTCCACTACTAGGTATTTAAAGCTCTATGTGGGCAGAGATTTTCATCTGTTTATGAGCAAGTAGTGTGGGGTATATAGTAGATAATCAATGTTTATTAAATGAATGAATGAATGTACTTATGTTTATTTCAGCACTGTGCCAAAATTAAAAAATGGGAAAGTCTGGGAAGTGGAAAATGAAATAATGGAAATAATAGTAAATAACTGGATACATTCTAAAAATATTAATCAATAGCTATACGGATAAAACTATGGTATATTCATGATAGAATATTATATAAAACAAAACAAATACACTAGTGACTAGATCTATTAACATCAATCCAAACGGATTTTAAAAACAATACTGAGTCTAGTACACCAATGTTCATTGCAGCACTGTTTACAACAGCCATTAGGTAGAAACGAATGGATAAACAAAATTGTGGTATATACATACAATAGAATATTACTGAGCCATAAACAAAAATGAAGTTCTGATACATGCTACCACATGGATGAACCTTGAAAATATGCTAAGTGAAATAAGTAAAACACAAAAGGACGAATGTTGTATGATACTGCTTATATACCTAGAATAGGTAAATGCATAGAGACCAAAGTAGATCAGTGGATACTAGGTACTGAGGGTAGGGCGAATGAGGAGTTATTTCTGTTTCGGATGAAGGAAAAGTTTTGGAAATAGTGGTGATGGCTGCACTACACTGTGAATGTAATTAATGCCACTGGACTGTACACTTAGATATGGCAAATACTGTATCTGTTTTACCACAATTAAAAAAATACTGAGTGAAATAACAAGTTGTAGACTATATTCAATATAATTTATTTAAAATTTAAAAACATATGCCATGTTAGTGGATGCATACAAAATATACTTTTTTAAAATACAAAACAAAGACACCAACTCATGACGGTAATTACCTGGTTAGGGATGAAAGTGGGCAAGGAGAGAATGAATAGGGTGGAAAAGGAACTTTAGCTTTACTGGAAATGTTTTATTTCTTTATTTAAAAATGTATTGGAAAGAAATATAACCAAAAAATGTTGGCTGTTGTAAATATAGATACTGCATTATTTTAGTTTGGGTTTTTTAATTTATCTAGCTCAACTAAATTAACAACAAAAAAAGAAATAAACAAAATAAAAGTGTTATATGAAACAGGCAAATGCATAGAGACCAAAGTTTTTTAGTGATTACCAAGGATGGGAGGGAAGGGGCAAGGGGGAGTCATTGCTTAGGAGAGCACTGAGTTTCTGTTAATGGTGGCGGAATAATTTGGAAGAGAACGGTGGTAATGGTGGGACAACATGATGATGGTAATCAATGTCACTGAATTGTATGTGTAAAAATTGTTGAATTGACAAATGTTTTCTTGTATATATTTTTACTACAATAAAAAAAGAAAACAGTGAAAAAACAAAAAAAAAGTGTTATTTGCAAAGGAGTCAACGATAGCAAAATAATAATAATGAGAGTTTTATATATATAATGTATATAGAAAGTGACTAACTTTTAATTGTGAATACTGGATCCAAGCAGAACTTTGACTTCTGATTTCAGGAAAAAGGCAAAAATTAAGAGATGAGTGAAAAACAGACAAAATGGAAAAAGTAATAAAGATGTTTTTAAATAACAGAGACCAGTTCACAGAAGGAAACTATTCTAGTTGCAAACATATTTAAAAATTTTTCACACACTCCATCTGCTGCTGTTAAAAACAGAAAAATAAAATTTTAAAGGCAGTGCAGTGACTACTGAAAAAGGTAAACTATAAAAATAAGGCAAAAATATTAAATACAGGGTATATCACACAACGAAATTACAAATTTTGGCAATATAGTAGAACAATACAATATACTATCCATTTTGTATCTGATATTTAATATTTGGTTCTACTTCAGTCACTGGTATAAATTTTGTCTTATTACTTTACAAATACAATATAAATGTGGCTTCCTACTTTCCCCACCAGTCCCATGTTCGCAGTTTTTGCAATTTGGACTGGCTGATCTCGGACCATTTTTCTAACTCAAAAATTATAATGATTTGTCTGGCAATTATAATTATTGGGAATTAGAACAATGCCTTGCAGAAGATTGGTGTGTCAATGGCTAGATGTACAATCATTTTGCACTATTAAATAAATACTGAAATTTAACCACTGGCTATGTGTGGCATAAATATAAAACTATAAAAAAAACTGGTCGTATAAAAATATATACACATCGTTAGATGTTTATTTAGCCAATAAATATATGATTCGCTCCTACTGAAAGATGAGGCACCTGTGGCTACTCTATAAATATTGATGTGAAAATAAAGTAATAGTGTCTTCCACTACGTTGCTTGAGTCAGAACCAAATAAACCAATACATAAATACTTAGAGAAAACCCAAATCCATGGAAAAACGTTATCTTCCCAATATGCTATTTCACAGTGATCCAGGGGTTTATAACAGTTTTCATGATTTGTGCATCAAGACGATCTATTACATGAAAAATAATCCCACCACCTTTACTGGTAAACCCACAGCATCACAGGTTTGACTAGTTGCCAGGACAGATTTTTCTTCCCCCTTCTCCATCTTTCTCAGAGCATCAGGTATCTGACCACTGACATCATCTGGACACCTGACCAGATGAATCGCGTTTCCAGGCCCTACAAACCCGATCAGTGCGGTGAGCATCCGGCGGCACGATTTGTGCGCGGAACACGTCCCGGTCTCCTGCATTCCGCGCGCTCACCTCAAACTGCACATTTATTTATGTTTTGTTTTTACCAATCGTTTGCCACTTCGTTCAAAAAAAGGCATTCCCATTACAAAATAATAAAATAAAAAGTATAACTTAAAAAAGGTCAGCAAAAAATCACCTTATGCTGTGAGCAGCTCCCTCTAGTGGAAGCGATCTCCGCCTTCGAGAGAAATTACCCAAACAAGCCTCAGATAGCGGCGCACGTTCGCCACCGGGGCAGGTGTTGATAAAAGCTCTTTTCGACCCGACAGAACCCAGTCATGCCCAAAACCTCTCCTTGCCAGTTCTCCCGGAGTGAGGCCAGAGGAGCTCGGACCAAGACCTCGCCGGGAAGCCTCAGGGGCCGGGGCCCTCCAAGGAATCGAGGAGGCGGGCGACGCCCCGAGAGGTCGCGTGCGCTCGTGGTGGGCGTCTGCCGCCGTGTCTTGACGCCCCCCTCCCCCATATACCGAGACGTCGGCGTGGGAACCCAGTGTTTGGCCTCCGGGCCAGGACGCCCGGAAAGAGTCCCCTTCGGGCCGCGGACGACGCAGCACGGCCTCTGCCTAGAAGAGAAAAAGGGTGAGGGGCCGTAGATGCTCACCACTACGCTGGAGCCACGACGCGCCTGTCTTCCGCCGCCTCGGGTCGCGCTCGGCCCCGCGGAGGTCCGTCCCGGCGTCTGTTAGCGCCGCCGCCCGGCGACGACGCCGGGCCTCTCCCGCAGCTTGTGCTCCTCCGCACCAGTGCGTGGAGGTGTCGGGCTCCCGCTGTGGGTGGCGGGAGATTTAAACCGGGCGGCCTGGCGCGCGCGGATGCTGGGAGCCGCACCTCGGCCCGACGTCCCGGTTTGCTCACCCTCGGACGCTTGCCCAAACCCCACGGGGACCCTGGCTCCGGACCAGTTCGAACCTGCGGCTCTCTCGGTCCATTCTTGAATGAACTGCGTAACTCTCTCTTATTCCTCCTCTCCTGAATCCCTCGTAATAGAATGGAATGAAAACACCAAACTCATCAGAGCATCACTATAAGGAACTGATTGTGAGACCTTTGAGGCATGGGTCAGTGGAAGGAATTCTCCGTTTCCTTTTCGGAGCCCCCACACCTTGAGCCAGGTCCTTCCCTCCCTTCTCCGAGCCCCCAGTGCACCTGCCAGACCCTCTGGTGCCCCATGAGGAGTCCATACTTCGGAGTCATTTCTGAATCCTCGGGCGCTTCTCAGTACCAGTGCCCGGCACGTGGTAGAGGCTCACGCGCTGTATTTAACTCTCATGTAAAAGGTTTAAAGAGGATTAAGTTAATAACTGTTAATAACTGACCTCAAATGCACATACATAAATAACCACATTTTTTGGCCATAACTGAATCTTCTAGAGAAATGGTAAAATCTGAACTTAAAAACATCAGAAAAAAACTGGAAATAAGGCAAAAGTAAAACGATTACTGTCGAGAGATAATTTAATAAATTATTTCAGTGATGTTTAAAGTGACTAAAAAAAATTCCTTAAAAAGCACAAAAAGTTAATTACAACTGTGACACAGGCTAGCAAGGAAGAGCTTACATCTGAGGTGAGACTCTGAAATATTAATACTACAAAGTACCTTAAAAAAACCTGAACAAAGTAGTTTTAGAAGAGGGAAAAAGGGAGGGCTATTTAATAATAGGTAAATTTGGACTGAAAATTTGAAGACGTCTTTAGACCACGGATTCTTACCCAGAGATTTATGGGGTTCAAGGCATTAGTGAATTCCCTGAAACTATATGTAAAATTTTGGTAAATACCATCTTTCTGAGGCGTATACAGCTTTCCTCAGATTCTCAAAGTCCAAATCTTAAAAAGTATTGTTTGGCAAAAGTGGATAATTGCTGTACTCCTTGGGATGACTTTCCTGACCCAAGCAAGCTAGGTTTGGATACCCTCCTAAGGGGCATACCTCAACTTTCACTCAACAACTGTACTGTATTGCAATTATTTACCTGCTTATTTCCCTCCATTACATGCTATCTCCCCCAAAGTGAAAACCTTATGCATTTCTGGAGCCTTAGCTCCTAGCACAGTGCCTCATACTAGGTCCCAAATAAATATTTATCCAGTCAGTGACTAAAGATGGCTAATTAATAACTGAAGGATACAGTATGTCTAAAAAGAACTGAATCCTCCCTCCCCCAGAACAGATGACACTGATACAGCAAGCAAAATGAGTTTCAAACTGCTGTGTGTACCATGATAAGTTTCTTGGGATATTTTAGGAAATGCTTGTTCCAACAGGATGAAGTTTAGCTGAAGATACTAAACCAACATTTTCAATTCAATCTGAAGCAGGGAAAGGTCCTCCAAGGAACATACCAAGAAGTCAGAGTATGGCGTAGACCTGCTGGTTTTGTTGACTTAAGGAAAATTATAAAAAGATACACGATGTCTCCAAGCCACCAGAAAATAGAGCATTTACACATCACTTTTCCTTCACAAGTCCTAAGAAAAGTATACAAGTGGTGGCAGAGCATAGGAATGGTTTCAGCGAATAAGACAGAGGTACTGATGCTCCTCCAGGGCAGGAATGAGGTCTCACTCATGGTATTCAATAAATGTTTGCTGAATGAATTACTAATCTTCCTTGAGCTGTTGGATTGATAAGATCCAACTTGACCGGATTGATAAGAACAGACCTTGGAGAAGGTCATCAGTGAAAAAGTTCAGCAAAAAAGAGGAAGACTCTCAACAAGATGGACTGACATAGTGAATGTAACTGTGGGCTCAAACATAGCAACGATTGTGAGGATGGTGCAAGACCAGGCAGAGGGAGCCGCACAGAACCATCAGAAATAACTTGAGTTATTTAGAGTTTACCAAGGCTGTAATCTTTGCGGAAGCCAACTGCCACATTTTTCACCTGTGGAGCAGCTAGTGGGTCCGAACCACCGACCTTTTAGTTAGCAACCAAGCACTATAACCACTGCATGACCAGGGCTCTTTAAAGAATAGGACAGATATAGTAATATCAAAGACTAATATTTCTCCGAATGTTTGCTTTATATAAGCAACTGTGATTTTTCGAAACTGTTGTAAGGTGCCGTTTTCAAAACTAGAATTTATCAAAAATATTTAGCCCGTATGAACAGATTTCAATGTTATTATCAGAAATTCCCAGATGGTACTTGTTTTTTTCAGTTACACAATCAACTTGTATTTTATAATATATCAATTTAAACTTTCATTTGTTCTTTCCCCCTGATAATACTAGGAAACCTTCTGATAGGACATAATTAACATTGATCATATACATTCTACATAGAATAAAAATTCTAAATAACTCAAGTTTCTACCCTAATGATCTCTGGATAATCATCACGGCAAGTTTTTTCATGTTTTCCAGTGTAAAAAGCTAGTCATGTCTTAGATAAGACCTAGAAGGCAGCTTTATTTAAGAGGAAAACAAAATTAAATGACTTGGCATATGACTGTTACGCCTACTTCCTTCCTCACAGTATTTCTGAGCTATTATTTCTGATGGTTCTGTGCAGCTCCCTCTGCCAGGATATCCCACTCCTCCTCCCCCTCTCCCAACCAATTATTTGTCAAGTCTGGCTCAAATGTCACTCTTCTATGATGCTTTTCTTGACAGCGAACTCCTCCCCACAAGGTTAATTGCTCTCCTCTATGCCAACTTTCTGCCTTAATTTACATCTTCCTTTGCACTTAGGACTGTTGTAACTAATTTTTTAATGGATGTTTCTCATGTGAAAATAGGATGTTTCTGAAGGTAGTAGCGTCTATGTCTTATACACTTTTGTATTTTCTCCCTTTCCTTCACCCCAGTAGAGACCCTGGTACATGACAGAAGTTCAGCCTTTTTTTCCTCAAATGGACTTACTCAGCAATTAAGTATACTTTGAACTTAATTTTAAATTTATAAAGTATATGTTAAACAGCAGAAAAGGCATTTCCTAAAACTTTGCTTAATGAGGTAAGAAAGCAAGCATCAACCTGTTTATAAACTCCATTTACTATACTATGGTAAGACGGCATAAATAACCTTCTACTAGTTGGCAGGTCCTGAACACTGCACTGTCAGGTTTCTGGCTTTTCCCAGCTCTGCAAAAGCAGATCCGCCCATTTCTCCAAGCAAGTCTTAGAAGCAAATTTATTGTGTGCGGTTGATTCCAACTCATAGAGACCCTATACGACAGAGTAGAACTGCCCCATAGGGTTTCCTAGGCTGTAATCTTTACAGGAGCAAATTGCTAGGTCTTTTTACTCACGGAGTGGCTGGTGGGTTCAAACCATTGACCTTTCAGCACTTAACTATTGTGCCAGTGAAAGTCTTTGTCTCTTATGTAACTAGAGGAGGATGGGCCATTGAGAGGTAGACTGCTGTTTTGAAGAAAGACAGTGGAAGGGGGTGAGAGAGCGATGTTACAAGACAACTGAATCTTCCACACTTACACTGGCCTGTCATATTCTTCTTGTTCCAGGGAGTAAGATCTAACCACCGGACTTTTCCTAGGGGAGGAGTTTGGCAGAGGTCCAACAGAGGCAATCTTTGTCCAAAAGACTTGGTCACTAATGTTATATTCATCCCAAGGGAGAATGCCTGAACCCTGAATGTATCCTGCCTTGGAACCAGGGTGGAGAACAGGTGAAGGACCAGTACTTGATGCCACTTCCTTCTTTTCCTTTAAGCACTTAGTGTATGCATACTACATTTGCTCAGCCCAGACCGGGCAGGTTAGGAAAGACACTCTGACTCTGCCCTTAAGGTTCATTCAGGGACCATCCACAACAGGAATATGAATTCATCTCTGCCCTCTGAAAGTTAGGAGGTTTCCAGAGACCACAGATAAGAAATTAAGACCAGTATGTACAAAATGAGGAAAATAAGGACTTTGTGTGTGAATATTCTGGCTACATCTACTCACTTTGTTGTCATTAAAATGTACTTTATAAGAAATGATGTGATAACTAGAGTTCTTGCTCTTAGTCTCTGTGAGAATGAGGGCCATGTCCTGGTCAGGGGCGGGGAGCCTGTGTCCCTAAGTAATGGGGAACAAAAACCACTATTTAAGCCCTGGACTGTCTCTGAACTTCTACATCTGAGAGAACTAAACTCCTAACTGGTTTGATCCACTATTAATTTGGCTTTCAACTGCAGCCAGGTATAGATGTTGTTTGAGATATATTGCATTGATGGGTCTAGTGATGAAACCAAACTGACTTCCTGTATAACACTAAGAGGTTGTAAGGTATTCTTAAGGAATACCGATCTATTAAAGATGGAAGTCACTTTTTAAGACATTTACTTCAGAGTATTTGGTATTTAACATATGCATAAAGATAAATGAATGCTAACGATAATTCATAAAATCTGTAGAATGTTTATTATCTAATACTGACTGAAAGATTTTGTTTAAAGAATCTATTCTTATCTACATATGAGGACAGGTTAGAGAAAGAGGTGATTCCTGGTTACCATGAAATCTGTATTCAGCTTCTAAAGGATACTGGCATATCTTTAATTTGGAAGTACTTCATTTAAAATATTTAAACAAATTCTTAATAAATGGGCAACATCTACTTTTTTATGTTCTGAATACCTACAAAGACTTGTTACAGTTAGATATCACTTAATTGACCAAAAGCAAATTTTATTTCTAATTTTCCCATATTAAAGATTTCAGTCTTTTTATATGCTTTTTTAAAGTTAACCTTAAAAACCTGCTTCTCCATCAGAAATAAAAAGCTGCACAATTAATTACTGTATATCTAATCTATGCATATTATAGTATTTCAAAAACACATCTTAATTCAAACTAATACCTTTGGAAAAAAACAAAACAAAAAAACTCGACTTAATTTCAAGAGTTTAGCATAAGGTAGAGAATGCAGGCTACATTTTATATTTTATAAACAAAAACTGTCATTTTATAAATACAAAATAAAGAAGAAAAACACAATGACATGTTAACTACTATCAAGGGTGAAAACCTTATATAAAGTGTAATCCAAAAGGCTGTTTTCTGATGAGTTGGCCTGCAGGTCTGTGTAATCTGAGAATTCTTTACTGATTTCATTTATAGAAAGAATCTCTACAGTCAAATTATCATTCACTTTCATGCCCCCACGTGGGAAGTGGTAGGTGAATATCTGTAGGAATACAATTTATTGTCTGCTCCTCCACTCAGAAGTAACTGCGTAAAGGGGGGAGAAAAAGACACAAACACATAAGTAAATACAATTACTTCATCTGACAGCTAAGCTAACAAAATACTGATGATTTTTATTAGAATTGTGGATGAGTAGTTAACTTGCATTGAGATTATGGGGACCAACTGCATCAATTTTCACTACTATACACAATATGAGCCCTGGTGGTGTAGTGGTTAAGCGCTCAGCTGCTAACCAAAAGGTTGGCAGTTCAAATTCACCAGCTGCTCGTTGGAAACCCTATGGGGTAGCTCTACTCTGTCCTATAGGGTCGCTATGAGTCGGAACCCACTCGATGATACCTAACAATAACAACAACATACACAATATAGTATATTAAAGCTTTAAAAGTGAACATTTGAATTCAGTTAAGATGTAACATGCTATTGTACTTCCTACGAAACATTAGCTAAGAAATGTAATAAAGTTAACAAGTTTGAAGGATGGTACAGTTATCTATTTTAAAAATTTAGAAGTTTTTAGAGGACAGTACATTAATTGTTTGCAGGTAAATGGATATTGCAAATTATTCAAATAGCCCTAGGAACTATATTTGGAAAGAATTCTAAGGCAATAAGAGCTTATGTATAAAAAAAAAATTAAATTATAATTATTTAAGCACATTTTATAATCCAGACTTATATAAGATTTTCCTAACTGGGAAATATTTTCATCCAGTTAGTGTTAATTAGCGACTTTATGGACTTAAAATGTTTTGTTAAAACACCCAGGAAAAAATAAACTGCTTCAAAATTTCAAATTAAAAAAAAATTTTTTTCAAATTTTACTACTTCTGTTATTAAAGGACAAATTTGTTTCTTCTTTAAATGAGATACAAAATTAAGGGAAAACATAGTCAGAATATAGAATTATAAATATCCGATATATTGAAACTAGTAATTCTATAAACACAGACACCAGATTTATTCCAATAATATATTTTCCTCTTCACCAAATAGCTAATGAATTCTTACCCCTGTGTCTGTCCAGTCTACACCCAGAACTTTGTCTTCATGAGCAGCGAGATCATAGAGAGGAGCTTTACAACTAAAAGATGAAAATATTAACATGTTATATGCATTTCACAGTATTAAAATAAACAAACATATATAAATAATCACTTGTACTTTTCTGAAAACTTTACAGGATTTACAATCCTTGCCCCAAGAACCGCTTAATCTTAAAATTTTGAGTATTTAGCTGAACCTCTCCTGTTTTTCCTACATCATTTGTAGACTACAGAGATTTGCTGCAACAAATATATTCAGAAAAAATTTTACTTATAAAAATGTATTTATTTAAGTATGGCCCCCAGACACCCTTTTAGCTCAGTGGTGAAGTCACTTCC